CACTGCTCTCCCACTGTCACTCCCCCAGCACTGCTTTCCTGCTCCCCCATGCGTTTCAGTACGTTGTGTTCTCATTTTCAATCATCTAAGTATCTTCTTTTTGATTTCTTGTTTGATCCACTGGTTGTTCAAAAGTGTGTTGTTTAATTTCCACAGTTTTTTGTATTTTCCAGATTTCCTTTGTTACTCATTTCCGCCTCCATTCCTTGTGTCTGCCCTTCTCTGAGACCGATCACTGGGTTTAGGGCACCGCCTGGTACTTCAGGATGATCTCCTCACTCCACATTCTCTTTCCCCACATCCACATTCTTAACACATATCCGAGGTCTTTCTAAGTCCCACTCACATGTTCTGGGCGTTAGGAGTCGGGCATATGCTGGTGGGGCTGCCACTCAACCTACCGCAGGCCGCTCTGGTCCCCCAAACCCACACCCATCCACTCCACTCACATCCCTGAGAGTTTCAAGCGATTCCAGCATCAACTCCAAAACCACATCCAGACACCAGCAGCTTAACATCCCAGCCCTGTCTCCTGACTCACAGTGACCAGGGTGGTGAGCTCCGGGGAGGGTCCACCTGGGCAATGCCCTCTCCGCCGTGGGCCTGGGACACGAGGGGGAACAGGCACCGGAGACAGGCCTGTCCACTGGGAGGTGGACGAGGAAGCACACAGGGTGACTGGTCTCAGCAAGTTTGAAGTCCAGCAGGGGAAACGCCAGGGGCTGCAGAGGAGTCACCGCTGGGGGCTGAGGGTCTGCCCTCTGCCCGAACATCTGCCCGGAGCCATTCCCCCTTCCCTGAAGGGCAGCTCACGCTGGCACCGAGGAGCTCTACCGCTTAGATGCTGCACGAAGAGCTCGGAAGTGACGGCCTCTCCTCTCTTCCTGTCCAAGCTGGTGGTGTTTCTGCTGACACAACACTCATCAACCCTGTGGGTCTCCCATGGACGTCACGGACCCACAGGTCTCCCGGGATAGCTCCCCTCCCCTCCTCTCCCCTCCCCAGGCTCCTCTCTGCAGCGGAAGGCTGTGCAGCCACACCTGGCCTCCCCCCGGGCATGCCGTCCTAACATGGCGTTCCTGATAGACCCATCTTCTTGCGTCTGGACAGGCCGTGGACGTCCAAGAGCATCAGGTGCTGGGTTGCTTTTGCTTAGCCGTTCCTTTCTGAGCCCGTCTCTCCTGCGTGCTTTATTGTACGTAGAGAAACCAGGCCACGCGTTCAGTACTTTGCTTGGACATCTCAGCTAACTATCCAAGTGCGTCACTTCCAACGTCTGCTTCCCACGCACGGCAGGACACAGCCAGCCACGTTCTGTGTCCACACCACACTCCTCGTTCCCTTCTGAGGCCGCACCAGTTCTTCCACACCCGCTTCTGGCGCCATCTACCTCTAAGAAGCCGCCTCGCTTCCCCCGGGCCGTCATCAGAATCACCTGTGAGGGCCGCACGCCCACACGTCCCTTCAAGGTGACCCGCAAGGCTTTTCAAGTTGTGTTTCTCAACGTTCTTCTCGTCTCTACCCGTCACCCGACTCCAAAGCCACACCCACATTTTGGGGGATTTGTTCAGCATGGACCCCACTTCTGGTCCCAAAATCTAGTTTCATTTTCTATGGCAACTGGCGGCTTAAACAGCTGAAGGTCACGCTCTCAGACTTGCCGGCGGGCAGAGCTCCTCCCAGGCTCGGGGGTGGGGGTGGGGGGGGGGGTCCTTCCTGCCTGTCCAGCTCCTGGGGCCCTGGTGTCCCGGGCTTGTGTCCGCCTCCCGGCTCTGTCCTCACACCACCTTCTGTGGCTCAGGTTTCGCCTGCCTCGCCTTGTGAGGACACGTGTAATTGGCGTGAGGGTCCACCAGATAACCCAGGGCTACTTCATCTCAAGACCTTACATCCGAAAAGACCTTTTCCCCAAAAAGGTTCCATTCACAGGTTCGGGATTAGGCTGTGGCCACAGCTGGGTCAGGGCCACCACCACTGCTCTCTCTACAACGTACCTCAAGTCCGTCACTTCTCACCACCCGTCCCTCTCTCCTGACCGTCCTGTCCGACAGCCCCCAGCTGGCCTCCCTGGCTTCCATCTCTGTACCCCAACAATCCATTTTCCTCGCAGCTTGGGGACCATTTTAAAACCACAGCTCAAATCACGGACCCTGTGCTTAAGGCCCCAAAGCCCTTTCCTTGCACCTCTGCACGCACAGCTGGCTCCTGCGGACCAGGCACATCCTGGCCTTAGTGCTGCCCCGCAGAAGGGCCCGTGACTCCCCGGCTGTGTGCTCCCAGCCCACCACCGACCCCACGAGTCACCAGGCTTTGTTTTATTCTCGGCATTTATCACAACTGGACAGTATTGTACCTCCCTGCCTCCCCACCCAGTCATCCCACCCACCGCCCGTCCGTCCATCCGTCTGTCCGTTGGTGAAATTAAACCTGCAACACATTTTAACCAGCTCTCTCATCACCCCCCTCCCCCCCATTCACGTCTCTGGGCCATCCCGCCTCACTGCTTCCTGGGACACTCTGGGCACAGGCAGAACAAACATTTTTTTCCAATTTAAACTCTCCCAAGAAAGTTGTAAAAAACCACCAAACACAAAGCCCGAAGTGTCACTCTGGAAGGAGAAGGGGCTACCTCGTTGAAGGACGAGAGGTTGAGCTTCTTGGCGATGAACTTCTTCAGGTGCAGCACGGTGGCCTGGGCGGAGCAGCGGATCCACTTGCGCTTCAGGCCGCGCAGCTTGCTGCTGTTGCACTCCAGGCAGATGCTCACCTTCGGGAGAGAGGGCAGGGCTGGGTGGCTCGCCTCGGGGCGCCGGCTCTGCGAACCCCCTAACGGCTAAGAAGGCTGACTTTCTCGAAATCAGAAACCAAACAGACCCCAACACCACAGGAAGGAATTTTAAAAACCACTTCCACACACAGGATCGTGAAACCCACGGGGTGTTTGCCGCGTTGGGAGAGACGCTCTGACGCTGCTGGTTCTGTCTGAGCCCAGACTTCAAGGCGAACCGAGCACTCTGCTCCCTGTGGCTGCCTGGTCTCCAGTCAGACCCCAAGGCGGAGCCGTCGGAAGCTGCTGCGCAGGACACACACGTGCCCGTCTGCCCCCAGGCTGTGCCCAGCTCCCTGCTGCTGGACGGCCCACAGCAGACAGGCCCGCGCTCTGCAGACGTGTCGTGTGGGGAGCGGTGTCCTGTTGGCCGCTGCAGGAGCGGGAGCTGGGAGCAGCCTGTGGCTCACGAGGTCCCTCCCGACCGTCAGGAGGACGTGTGGGTGAGAGGAGCCAGGCACCGCCCTGAGGGAGGGGGGCCCGGGAGCCACGTGGCCACTGAGAAAGCCCACCCGAGTCGCCAGTGCTCGGCCACATTCTCCTTCAGGTGCCACAGAAAGTGGCCATCACCATCACACTCGGGTGGAAGAATTTACAAACGAACTAATGAAATACGTACACGTCTAAAATTACCAGGGACCCAACAGAATGGATTAAAAATGACACGCTCAGGTCACGCGGACGGCGGTCTGAGTCCGTGCGTGTCCGTCTCCCACGTCTTGTTTCTGTCTCTGTGGCTGAGGGACAGCCCACAGCAGGCACGTCCTGCCTCTGAGGACAGTGTGGCGACTGTCAGCTGCCGAGTCACCAGGACACGGGATCCCTCACTTTCTCCTACAGAATCTCCGTGCTGCTTACTGTTTCCTGTTCAGTCTAATGCTGAGGCGAATGATGCGAACAGATGCCTCCACGTTACATTTTGAATTACCTTTTCCTGCCCACTGGGTTTCTCTTGTGAACTATTTGCAGGGAAAATGCCTGCACCAAATTATTCAGTGACAACCAGAGACGGGCTGAGGTGGCCCAAGGGGTGTGGAGGGTGAACTTTACCCTTTTATATTTAAAATGTTTTACAGTGAGCATATTTACTTTGACAATTAAAAAAGAAATAATAATAAAGTAAGGAGGTGGCAGGAAAAACTAAGAAAATGAATGAACATTTAGTGTTTCTATTTTCTTTCCCTCATGGCCTTTCTCTGTTTTAAATGAGAGCGAGTCCCACGGGAGTGCCAGGCTGTGCTCTGCGGCCTTAGGGAGCGGGCGGTCTTAGGGAGCGGGTGGTCTTAGGGAGCAGGGGCCTCAGGGAGCGGGGGCCTTAGGGAGCGGGGGCCTCAGGGAATGCAGGGCACAGGGGCGCAAAGGCACCGACCTGCTCGTCGCTCCGGTGGTAGTCGCTGTCCTCCTCCTGCTTCTCTTCCGCAGCCTCCGTGTGGGAGCTCTCGTCTGCTTTGGTTTCACCTTTTAGCAGAAGAGAATACACTGTGTTTGTTATTAAACCCAAAATGCTGAGCCGGTCACTCTGCTGTACACCTGAAATGCTATAAAAACCAGTGTAAGGCGCGGCCGGTGGGGCTCAGGGGCTGAGCATCAGCCCATGAACCAGGTGGTCACAGTTCCATTCCCCGTCAGGACACACACCCAGGTTGTGGGCTCGATCCCCAGTGTGGGGCGTGCAGGAGGCAGCCAATCAGTAATTCTCTCTCATCACTGATGTTTCTGTCTTTCTCTCCCTCTCCCTTCCTTTCTGAAATCAATAAAATATATTTTTAAAAAAATTTTAATTACATATATTTAAAAACACACTAAAAAACAGAGTAGTAAGAATTTGCACCATAAAGCACACGCCTGAGGCGGGGGACAAGTGTGTGAGCCGCGTGCTCCTCAGGCAGGGCCCGAGGCGGGGCTCCGCGTGTGGTCTGCAGCGGTGGGAGGGGCCACAGCGGCTCGGCCACCCGCTGCTGCTCAATACTGAGTACCTCCACCTCCAGTCTGCACGGTGCCCTGCACGGCACAGCTCAAAACCATTTATTTAACCAGATAACGGCCACGCGTCCAAAACGGAAACCATCCCCACCTGCCACGATATTTTGAATTTAACTGCGTCTATAGGTGCTTATGGCGTACAAAGGGTTAAAAATAGGTTTTTATTGATTTCAGAGAGAGGAAGGGAGAGGGAGAGAGAGAGAAACATCCATGATGAGAGAGAAGCATGGACCGGCTGCCTCCTGCACACCCCACACTGGGGGTTGAGCCTGCAACCTGGGCCTGTGCCCTGACCAGGAATTGAGCAGTGACCTCCTGGTTCACAGGTCAACACTCAACCACTGAGCCGCGCCGGCGGACTCATCACCACTTTGGAATGAAGACGCCCGTGGCTGCCCCGCGGGGACAGACTGCCGGGTCCCAGCACGTTCCCGCCCGCCGCCTCCCAGGGCCCAGTGGCGCCAGCAGGGTCGGCGGAGGGGACAGCAGCCCGCCCGTCCTCCCTGACGGTTACAAAAGCACGGGAGGCCTCAGGCTCCCAGGGACTGTGTGGTCCACAGGAAAATGTCAGAGCACCAGAGGTTTCTTTCACTTGTTACTCGATGTACAGAGTTAAATGCCGTTAACTTTACACGGAAGCCACATGCCACTCTGCCATCTACAGCAAAACTCCCCAAACTCAGGGAGCGTCGGGAGCCACTGGCCATGCCCCCGGTGCCCCCTGTGCCTAACCCCAGGGATAACCATGTCACTGACTTTCACAAAGGTTATTACTCTGCACTACAAACTGCTTGGGGTTGAGAGGAGGCAGCGGGGACAAGGGGACTGGGACAGGGGATGAGGACAGTGTATAGGGGACGGGGGACAGAGGATGGGGACAGGATATAGGGGACAGGGGGCAGGGGATAAGGACAGGGTAAAGGAGACAGGGGACAGGGGACAGGGGGCAGGGGACGGGGACAGGATATAGGGGACAGGGTACAGGGGATGGGGACAGGGTAAAGGGGACAGGGGACAGGAGATGAGGACAGGTACAG